CCTGGCCATAGATGGATTGAATCTCGGCTGGTTCAGCGGGGATCGGCAGACTTTCGATCCATCTATGGGCAGGCTGGTTGGACTGAAGTCTATCCATCAATCAACTTCAGTGCAACCAGCCTCTCGGATTTTTTACATGTGATCACTGCCGGACGATATAGCCGCCAGCAGTGATCATTAAGTTCTGCTGGCAGGGAAGGCTCACCACTGGAAGAACACAATAGCGCTGTGGGAGGGGTTCTTCTAGCAATACTGGCTGTGTTGATAGGGGAATCAAGCAATTTTCTTACACGTGATGGAAAGAAAGAAAACTACATAATTTATTGACTGGTTGAACTACAAGTACCAGCATTGCTCCCCCAAAACAGAGGGCCCCTTTGGCTACCCACATACCTGTAATAGCTGTTAATCACAAAGGCACAAAGTGGAATGTCTATCAGCTCCCTTTCATCTGCTTATGTATGAGAGGATGAGCTGAGTATGCATGTTTATTCAGGAGGAGATTCTAAACAGTGAGTAACAATGACAAAGTGTCCAATCCTGCCCAATCATGATCCCTCCCTAAAGCACTTAGGCAATGGTTTTCTGCCGCTACCAACAATGGGACCATAGCCCAATCCAGTGATGGAGAGTCATGTATGGTGGGGCTATAACAGGACCTCCTGGGTGTGGCTAAACAAGTATCAGTAATGCTCCTCCAAGACATAGAGTGCCCCTTTGACTCGGCCAAATCATTGGCTAACCACAATATAGTCTATAGGACACACAACAATGTCCCTCAGCCAGATTAGGAAGGTCCCTTTGGCTACCAACAGACCTATAATGGTCATCAATAACAAAGATGCCAGGGAGACTGTCTATAAGCTTGCTGCATGCTCGAACACGCATGTATCCTACCCAATCATCATTTCCCTTGAAAGTGATCAACCAATGGCCATCCACCGCTGCCAACCATGGGATCATGAATTAGTCCAGTGATGAAGGGTCATTATGGTGGGGCAATGAGAGGACCTCCTGGGTCCTGGGTCTCAATATTTACAGTCTTTTATGGAGGGTCATCGATGGTGGTGCAATAACAACATCTCTTGGGCGTGGTTAAACTACAAGTGCCAGCATTGCTCACCCAAACGTAGAAGGCTGCTTTTGGCTACCTACAGACCTATAACGACCATCAATCACAAAAGACCTTGGGAAACATGTATGCGCTCGCTGTCATCTGCATATGTACAAGCTGAGCGTGTACGTTTATCTAAGGCGTTTGAGCATCTAGACAGCGGGGAACAATCACAATTAGGTTGTTCAATCCTGCCCAATCATGATCTCTCTCGAAAAGTGATCAGCCAATGGTTATCCGCTGCTGCCACCATGGGACTGTAACCCAGTCCAATGAAGGAGGGTCATCTATTATGCATGCAATAACAGGACCTCTTGAGTGTGGGAGAACTACCAGCATTGCTCCCCTAAAACACAGAGGGGCCTTTCTGCTTACCTACAGACCTATAATGGCCGTCAATTACATAGACACCAGGGAGACTGGCTTGCTGTATGCTAGGATGAGCCACGCATGTTTATCTAGGGGGAGGAGTGTATAGACAGAAGGTAACAATGACAATCAGGGTGCTAAGTCCTGTCCAGTCATGATCTCCCTTTTAATTGGTCTGCCAATGGTTGTCTGCAGCTGCCAACCATGAGACCATAACCCAATCCACGGATGGAGGGTCCTCACAGAGAGCGCCTTTGGCTTCCTACAGACCTAATAATGGCGGTCATTCACAAAAGAACCAGGAAAATATCTATTGGCTCACTGTCATCTACATATGTATGTTAGGATGAGCCAACCGTGTATGTTTATCTAGGGGGAGGAGGGTCTAGACAGTGAGGAACAATGACAATCAGGGTGTTCAATCCTGCCCAATCATGATCTATCCCGAAAGTGGACAGCCAATGGTTGTTCACCTCTTACCACCCAGAGGACCATAGCCCAATCCAGTGATGGAGGATCATCTAAGGTGGAGCACTAACAGGACCTCCTGGGTGTGGCTAGACAGTGGGGAACAGCAATGATCAGGGTGCTTAATCCTGCCCAATCATCATCTCCCTCAAAAGTAGTCAACCAATGGTCATCCACCACTATCGCCCAAGGAACCATAGCCCAATCCACTGACTGAGGGTCATCTATGGTGAGGCAATAACAGGACCTCCTGGGTGTGGATAAACTACAAGTACCAGAATTTCTCCTCCAAGACACAGAGGGCCCCTTTCACTTGGCCAAACCATTGGGCTGACCACAATATAGTCTATAGGACAAACAAGAATGTCCCTCAGCCAGATCAGGAAGGCCCCTTTGGCCAGCTACAGACCTATAAGGGTCATCAATCACACAGACACCAGGGAGGCTGTCTATAGGCTTGTTGTATGCTAGAACGAGCCAGGTGCCAGGTGCCTTCATTCATCTAGGGGAGAGGAGCGTCTAGACGGTGGGTAACAATGATGATCACGGTGCTCAATCATGATCTCCCTTGAAAGTGGTCAACCAATGGTCGTTCACTGCCGCCACCATGAGATCATAGATCAATCCAACGACGGAGGGTCACCTACGGTGGGACGAGAAGATCTCTTAGGTGCAGTTGAACTACAAGTACAAGCATTGCTCACCCAAATGTAGATGGCCCCTTTGGCTACCTACAGACCTATAATGGCCTTCAATGACAAAAGAACTGGAGGAACATCTATTGGCTCGCTGAGCCGAGCATGAATGTTTATCTAGGGAGGAGTGTCTAGACGGGAACAATAACGATCAGGGTGTTTAATCTTGCCCAATCATGATCTTCCTCGAAAAGTGGTCAGCCAATTGTATTCTCTCACTACCACCCATGGAACCAGAGTCCACTTCAATGATGAAGGACCATCTATGGCAGTACGATAACAGGACCTCCTGAGTGTGGTTGAACTAAAGTACCAGCATTGCTCCCTCAACACAGAGGGCTCCTTTGGCTACCTACAGACTTATAATGGCCATCAATCACAAAGGCACCAAGAGGAATATCTATCGGCTTCCTGTCATCTGCATAAGTATGCTAAGATGAGCAGAGCGTGTACGTTTATCTAGGGGGAGGAGCATCTAGACAATGGGGAAGAATAACGATCAGGGTGTTCAATCCTGCCAAATAATGATTCCTCCCGAAAACAGACAGCCAATTGTATTCCACCGCTACCACCCATAGGACCATAGCTCAATGCAGTGATGGAGGGTCATCTATGGTGGGGCAATAACAGGACCTGCTGAGTGCGGCTAAACAGTGGGGAACAGTAATGATTAGGGTGCTCAATCCTGCCCAATCACAATCTCCCTTGAAAGTGGTCAGCCAATGGTTATCCGCCGCTGCCAACCTTGGGACCGTAACCCAATCCATTGATGGAGGGTCCTCTATTGTGGTGAAATAGCAGGACCTCCTGGATGTGGTTGAACTACAAATACCAGCATTGCTCCCCCAAAACAGAGAGCCCCTTTGGCTACCTACAAATCTATAATGGCCATAAATTACAAAGGAACCAAGTGGAACTTCTGGGACCTCTTGGGTGTGGTTGAACTACAAATACCAGCATTGCTCCCCCAAAACAGAGAGAGCCCCTTTGGCTACCTACAGATCTATAATGGCCATCAATTACAAAGGAACCAAGTGGAACTTCTGGGACCTCTTGGGTGTGGTTGAACTACAAATACCAGCATTGCTCCCCCAAAACACAGAGAGCCCCTTTGGCTACCTACAGATCTATAATGGCCATCAATTACAAAGGAACCAAGTGGAACTTCTGGGACCTCTTGGGTGTGGTTGAACAACAAACACTGCTCCCTCAAAACACAGAGGGCCCCTTTGGCTTCCTACAGACCTAATAATGGCTATCATTCACAAAAGAACCAGGGGATTATCTATGGGCTTGCTGTCATCTGCATATGTATGCTAGGATGAGCTGAGCATGTGCATTTATCTAGCGGGAGGAGGGTCTACACAGTGGGGAACTATGACAATCAGGTTGTTCAATCCTGCCTAATCAGGATCCCTCCTGGAAGTGGACACCCAATGGTTGTTTGCCTCTACCACCCATAGCCCAATCCAGTGTTGGATGGTCATCTATGTTGGGGCAATACCAGGATCTCCTGGGTGCAGCTAATCAGTAGGGAACAGTAATGACCAGGGTGCTCAATCCTGCCCAATCATGATCTCCCGTGAAAGTGGTCAGCCTTAATCCTGCCCAATCATGATCTCCCTTGAACGTGGTCACCCAATGGCTGTCCACTGCTGCCAGCCATGGGATCATAGATCAATCCAGTGATGGAGGATCATCTAAGGTGGGGGCAAGGAGAGGACCTCCTGGGTGTGGCTAAACTACAAGTACAGCATTGCTCATCCAAGACACAGAGGGCCCTTTTGGCTTGGCCAAACCATTGGCTGACCCCAATATAGACTATAGGACAAACAAGAATGTCCCCCAGCATGACCAGGAAGACTCCTTTGGCTACCTACAGACCTATAATGGTCATCGATCACAAAGACGCCAAGGAGCCTGTCTATAGGCTTGCTGTATGCTAGGACAAGCCGAGCGTGTACGTTTATCTAGGGTCTAGGGGGAGGAGCGTCTAGACAGCGGGGAACAATACAGATCAGGGTGCTCAATCCTGCCCAATCATGATCTCCCTCGAAAGCGGTCAACCAATGGCCATCCACCACCGCCACCCATGGGATCATAGATCAGTCCAGTGATGGAGGGTCATCTATGGCGGGGCGACGAGAGGACCTCCTGGGTGTGGTTGAACTACATGTACCAGCACTGCTCCTCCAAGACACTGAAGGCCTCTCTGACTTACCACACCTGACTTGAGGCCCTCAGCCCCCCAATACTATCTATATGCCCCCCAAGGCAGAATGTCCCCAGAGGGTCCCCCCTCCACCCTCAGGGGCCCCCAATTCACCTTACCTCTCCACCAATGGCCTTCTTACCTAAATAGATGTCCCCAAAAGAGCCACTGCCGATCTTCCGGCCCAGCCGGTACCGGTTCCCGACCCTCAGCTCCATGACAGCTCCTCAGGCCCGCACTCCGCCTCTGAACCCCGGAGCACTTTTCACCATCAGTTCCCGGCCTCCATCCGCACTCAGGGCCGACAATACCGGGCTGGAGGGTGAGGGCAGACTCCCCGCTCGCTGTCCCCGCCTCTTCGGGACTCGTCTGTGCCTCGGTAACGGAGGATTACGGAAGATTTTCTCCGACCCCCCCTCCTCCTCCGTCCCGGAAAATAACCCCAGTAAGAGGCTGTCACTAAAGCCTGGTGACGTCACCCCACCTAGCAACAAGCTGCGATGCGATGGGCGGGGTTTCTGAGGTGGCCATGTGACCGGCGATCATAAAGTATCGATCATGAAAGAAGGCTGGGGGTTGTCGGTGCTGCCGCCTGCCGGTCATGGCCATGGTACTGCAGCTGAGTGAATGGAATTGCGATTAGACAAAAAAAAAATCTTTTTCTGTTTATTTATGTTTGTGTTTATTATTTTCCTTTTTTTTTTTTGGCATTTACAGATTTGTAAACAGACACACCTACATTTTACATTGTTGTTGGCACAAATGTTTTTTTTTTGCTGTTTTTATGTTGCTTTTTTTTTTTTTGCAATGACGGCGGGGCGTGGACCTACGATTGACACGATACAGAGAAGATCAGCATGGCACTACGATTGGTACCAGGGGCGGACTGACAACTCATGGGGCCCCTGGGCAATAGGGGATCATGGGGCCCCTGTGTCCTTACCCAAACTCAAAAAAGCCTATGAAAAAGGTACCAGGGGCATCTCATAGGGCCCCCTACTGACCCCGGGCCCTCGGGCAGTGCCTGAGTTTCCAAATTGTCAGTCCGCCCCTGATTGGTACTATACAGAACAGATCAGCATGGCCTCTGCGTGCAAGGATTACACACCAACTACGTTGAGCGTTCCAGTTTTTCTTGCACCAAAATAAATTGAATTCAATGCTTTTTTTTTTTCTTACTCTTATTATGAACTATTTTAAAAAATAAAAATTACAAGGTGCAGGTCATGGTTAGATCGCAACTGAAAGCTGAGAGTACCCTAGCAGGTTCTCATACGAACATTCCTACCCAGGGGCGACTGATCATTTGGAAACTTGGGCACTGCCCGACATTGGTTATCTATGTCGCTAGTCGCAGGAATACAGTGATCAGTGGAAAATTCTGTATACTTAGTTACATAGTTAGTCTGGCTGGAAAGAGACAAAAGTCCATCCAGTTCAACCATTAACTGACAATATACTGACACTGTACTAATGGCACTGTGTGTGGAAAATGTAGTGCTTTTACTCACAGTGTGGGGTTCTCTTTTCTCTCCCTGGACCAACATAGGGGCAATGGGGGGGGGGGGGGGGGGGGGGCGGCGCATGCACACCTGGAAATAGAAAGCGATGTATGGGTACATCACTTTGCCCAGAGCCACCGCTCGCCCGCACATTGTGGGTGGGCAAGCAGCACCCAGTTAAGAAAAAAAAAATTATCTCAATTTGTATTTGTATTTTTTAACCATGATTTTTCGTTTTACTTTTTTTTTAACCAATTCAATACCGGGCAATTTTCCACCTTCCTGCCCAGGCCATTTTTCAGGTTTCCGCGCTCTCACTCTTTGAATGACAATTGCGCGGTCATACAACATTGTACCCAAACTAAAATTTTATCATTTTCTTCACACAACTAGAGCTTTCTTTTGGTGGTATTTAATCACCGCTGGGGTTATTTTTTGCTAAATTAACAAAAAAAGACCAAAAAGTTTTTTAAAAAAACACGTTTTTCTTTGTTTCTGTTATAAAAGTTTAAAAATAAATAATTGTTATTCATAAATTTAGGCCGAGATGTATTCTGCTACATGTCTTTGGTGAAAATAACCCAAATTAGGATGTATTATTTAGTTTGTAGGAAAGTTATAGAGTTCACAGAATATGGTATAGATCTGAATATTGATCAACCCTGAAGTACTGACAGCCAATCTAATTTCTTGAGGTCCAAGAATGTCAGAACAGTACAGATATCCCCCAAATGTCAGGACAGTACAGATATTCCCCTTTTTGCAGAGTAGACAGCCCAACGTACTTCATAAGAGGTGTGGCGAGTTTTTTGAAGTTGTATTTTTTTTTGTCATAATTTTTCGGAAAATGAAAAAAATTAAAAAAATTATTTTCACTATTTTTTTTTTTTTTTTACATACTGTCACCAGTGCAGTACAGCGTATTCATATAACTGGCATGGCGGTGAACAGGGACACTGACTGGTGACAGTATGAAAAATATATATATATATTTTTTTTTTTATTATTATTTTTAATTTTTTATTACATTTTTTTTTTTTTAAGATTTTTTTTTCATATTTTACTATGACCAAAGTAGTACAATGTTACCATAGTAATATTGTACTACTTTGGGGAAGTGATCAGTATTTTTTTTTTACACAATTTGCTCATAGCAAAGAATTACATAGCAAGCATTTACCTGAATGACATCGATTCATTCAGGGTTTTTTTTTTTTTTTTTTTTTTTTGTGCTTAGCTGTGATTTGGCCACAGCTAATCACATGACATGTGCATGTGACCTGCTGTGACCATTCACAGCTAGACTCTAGTATACAATGGATGGCATGAATGAAGCCATCCATTGTATACAACTGTCATGTGACCAGCAGGTCACATGGTACTGGCAACAGGGGCTGGTACTCAGATCTGTCATCGGCCGTGTCCAAGGTACACGGCCGGTGACAGATCGTGCCGCTGCGTGGCTCTGCAACCGCGCAAACTGCGCATGTGCGGGAGTACACCAAATGGCGTACACCCTGGAAAGCTAATGCATTTTTGCGGCCGCCAAACAGCTATAGGCCAGGCGGCTAATGGTTAATACTTTTATCAGAGTAGTACAACGTTACCATAGTAACATTGTACTACTCGGGGGGGGGGGGGAGGGTGATCAGGGATTTTTATTTTTTTTTTATTTTACACTTTGCATTGCAGGAGCAATAAAGATTATTTCACCTGCAATGCAATATTTTCTTTCAACTCTCATGAATGGGTTAAGTTCATGACAGCTCAAAATACAGTGATCTGTGCTTGGCACCAGCTGGTCACATGGTACAGGGTGCTGTGATTGGCCCCATGTATCATGTGAGAGGTGTGGGCCAATCACTGCTCACCAGGAAGAGAGGCGGCGCTGTTATGAATCAGATTGATTCGTAACAGCTTTGTTGTCATTGTGATCCCATTCACCGGAATCTTCATTCAGCTGTGTCTGGGGGACACAGCAGACGTGGGGGGGGAGGGTTGTGCGCCTGCTCGGGTGCAAGGCACCCCTCCCTGTTGGAACACCAGTGACATAAGGGTGGTCCTGTAGCTGCCGCCTGTCGGCCGTACATTTTGGGCGGGCGGACGGAAAGTGGTTAAAAATTAGAAAAAAAAAAGCCACCCTATATCATCACAGTGCAGCCTCCACAGGGAATGGTCCCAGGAGCCTGCGGTCAGTCCAGTGTGATCGGCGATCAGTTGTGTGCATTCAAGCTTGGCATTTCTGCCGATTTTGTGCCATGAAGCGACGAATATTGTTAGCCATCGTTATCCTCCTCTTCCATCCAGCGACAGGTAGGAATATTTTCTCCAAAGAGATGCAGCAGAATTTAAATATTGTAGAAGAACGCATCTAATCTGAATGAGAGTAGCCGATGAATTAGACACAAATTATTCATAATTATGTATTAAAAATGATTACTAGGCAATTATTGAAAAAGTATTATTTATTATTAATAATCAGATTTTCATTAAAGGGATGGTTCATCTTCACCAAAAAAAACTGCCGATGCAGATAAGGGGCGTCTGTGGATAAAAACAAACTGTGTGTCTCTGACTAAAGCTGAATAAAACTCGCTATAGGTGTAGGCCATTTATGTACAGCATGAAGCCTGACTGGAGTACTCCCGGGACGTTACCAAGTACTTCCAGGACGATGTTAAGCGAGACCTAGTCATTACTGCTCACCCCCACCATCACAGGAGTGAGCTTTTTGTCTGATTCAGACCCCCTCATAGCCCCGGAAGACATCTTTTGATGCCGAAATGCGTCGGGGGAGGAGCCTTCCCCTGACGTCATCGCGCTGTTGGCCATCTTTTGAAGAGTTTTTTTGAATGCTTATATATTATTCCTAAGCCGTAAGCAGGGGCGGACTGACAACTCATGGGGCCCCCCGGGGCAATAGGGGATCATGGAGCTCCTGTGTCCTCACCCACACTCAAACTACACCCAAAAAAGCCTATGAAAGATACCAGGGGCATCTCATGGGCCCCTTACTAACCCCGGGCCCCGGGCAGTGCCTGGGTTTCTGAATGGTCAGTCCGCCCCTGCCTGTAAGTAGGATTTTATTTGCGCACATAAAGGTATATCAAACACTATGAGAGGCATATTTTATTTTTCATGACACTATTTTGATATTGCAATGGGGATGACTTACTGATGCCTGCAGATTCTGTGTCCTGATTTGAGAGATTTGAGAGATCTTGGGTCCTGGCATGGAAGTCTGGATGATATTTTATGTACAGAAATCTGGTAATGACCCCCTCTAGTTAACCCCATCACACAAATATGCGGCCTCACAGAACTGGGCATTTTTCCATGGGGCTGCATATTTGCGTACCTATGTTTGTGCTGTGAGTGCGCCGCACAGCTCGCTCCCAGCACAAAGACCGCAGTGTCACATGATCGCTGTGATAGCCTCTGATTGGCTATCACAGTGATCAGTCACTGTGCAGCCTGGCCCCCTTGTTTTTTTCTCTCTCAGTGAATGGAGAAGAGAGATACATTGTATCTCTCTAACTCCTGGCATAGAGAGAAAAAAAAATGTTTGTAGAAAAAAAAAAAAAAAGATAAATATTAACCACTTGCCTACCGGGCACTTATACCCCCTTATTTACCAGGCCCAATTTTTAGCTTTCAGCGCTGCCGCACTTTGACAATTGCGCGGTCATGCAACATTGTACCCATATGAAATTTTGATCATTTTTTTCTCACAAATAGAGCTTTCTTTTGGTGGTATTTAATCTCCACTGGGCTCTTTACTTTTTGCGCTATAAATAAAAAATTGCCAAAAATTTGAAAAAAAAAAAAAAAAAGTTTCTTTGTTTCTATTATAAAATTTTTCAAACAGGTAATTTTTCTCCTTCACTGATGTGCGTTGATGAGGCAGCACTGATGGGCACTGATAGGCGGCACTGATGGGCACTGATAGGCAGCACTAAAGGGCACTGATAGGCAGTACTAATGAAGTGGCACGGATAGCCGGCACTGATAGACAGCACTAATGAGGTTTCACGGATAGGCGGCACTGATAGACAGCACTAATGAGGTGTCACGGATAGGCGGCACTAATATGCAGCACTGATAGGCGGCACTGATAGGTGACACTGATTATGGGTACTGATAGACGGCACTGACTGGCATCACTGCTGGGCACTGACTGGCGGCACTGACTGGCACAACCGCTGGGCACTGACTGGTGGCACTGACTGGCAGCACTGCTGGGCTGCACTGGTGGGTGGCACTGGTGGGCAGCACTGGTGGGTGGGCACAGGTGGGTGGCACTGGTGGGCACAGGTGGGAGGGCACAGGTGGGTGGCATTGCTGGGCACAGGTAGGTGGCACTTCTGGGCACAGGTGTGTGAAATTGCAGAGTGGCACAGGTGGGTGCACTGCTGGGCACAGGTGGGTGCACTGCTGGGCACAGGTGGGCGGAGCTAGTGGGCGCACTGCAGGGCACAGGTGGGCGGAACTTGCGGGTGGCACTGCTAGGCACCGATCATCAGGGCACTGATCATCAGTGCCCTGATGATCGGTGCCGATCCCCGCTCTGACAACTGCAGGTTCTCGGCAGTACTTTCCTCACGATCTGACAGCGTGAGGAAAGTGCAGCCGAGAACCGGCACTTGCATTTCCCTCTGATCAGCATGTCATTGGACACCGCTGATCAGGTGGTAAAAGGCCGCTGTGATTGGCCTTTTACCACATCACGTGATCAGCTGTGTCCGTAGGACACAGCGATCACGGAGATCGCCGGGTGCGCGCCCCCTGGGGCGCGCAGGAGAGCGCGTTCTGGGGGGACGTCATATGACATCCACTCAGAACTGGCCGGCCGCAGTGCAGCCGTCATTCGGCTATCTGCGGTCGGCAACAAGTTAAAAAATAAAAGCAAAAATGAAGAAAAAATACCTAGATCAAAGTTTGATCTAGTTCAGTGCCAGGGTTAGTGTTTGAGTCAAGGTCAGGGTCAACGGTCAGGATTTAAAAAAAAAAATTGGTATCAGTGTCAGTTAGTGTCATTGTCAGTGTCAGCGTCAGTGTGTTTTAGGTAAAAAAAAAAAAAAAAAAGACAAAAACAAAATGCGAATTATTGTTTCTGGGCTGTACTACGGGTACAAATAACAAATAACATACACATATATGGTATCGCTGCGATCGTCAAGAGCTGGAGAATGTATTTTGGGTTCTTCTTTGGTGGTAGAGTATGGTAGTAACAAGAAACACACAGCTAAATAAAAAAAATGATTTTTTTTTTACTATTTTGGGCCAGTTTTCCTTTGACAATAAAAAAAAAATCAGGAGATATCCATTACCATTTACCGCCAAATGAAAGCCCAATTTGTCTTGAAAAAAACACGGTATAATTCACCCGGATGTACAAAGTAGTTGTGATGATATGTACGGTTTTACTAACACATGTCAACGGTGCCAAATTGTGCTTAGGCGTTTAGATTTGTTTTACCCTTAGGTGTGAAGGGGTTAAGGGGTCTTTCCATCTGGTAAGCCTCCATTTACTCACATGGTGGTGGTCTGCACACGCTGGTGATCAATGGGATGATAAAGGATTTATATCAACAACACCACATTTATGGAACGGGAGATTTGTTTCACAAATTGACTACGGAGCCCATTATTCATGTGGACTTTATTGTCTTCCTTATGGACTATATATGTCCCACTGTTCATTTATTTATTTATCATAATTTGATCGCTTATGTTTATGATTGTTTTCACATTTCATATGTGTGTATCATTTTATTATATTTGCTATACATAGCGCAGCATTTATCATTTGTTATTAGACCCCCTCATATGTTCGCTCCCCCCCCCTGATGTAGTGAGCTCTGAGCTCACTCCTGTGATGGTGGGGGTGAGCAGTAATGACTAGGCCTTACTTAGCAACATCCTGGAAGTACTTAGCAACATCCTGGGAGTACTCCAGTCAGGCTTCATGCTGTACACAAATGGCCTACACCAATAGCAAGGACATTATTCAGCTTTAGTCAGAGACACACAGTTTGTTTGTATCCACAGACGCCCCTTATCTGCATAGGCAGTTTTTTTGGTCAAGGTGAACCATCTCTTTAATTGGAATGAATCTGCAGCAGAAGTATTATTATTCACAGCTGTACAGAGGGATCTCCAGGGCAACAGGCAATGGAGAATTTAACCTCTTCCCTTCCTCCCTTTCTACATAGATGGCGGACGAGAAGCAGCGCCTATGTGGGATGATGTTCCTGAACATCAGTCCGCATCGATGGCTTGTCCGCGGCTCACAGAACGCGCACCCCGGAGCCAGGTGATCGGTGTGTTGCCTGGACACAGCGGATCACATTACCGCTGTGTTCGGGCGATCACGTGATGTTTTACCATGTGACTGCTGTGACCAATCACAGCAGTCACATAGTAAATAATGAAACCGAAAGTAAGAATCGCTTCTCTGCGCTCAGTGAGAGAAAAGAGAAGTGATCCTGCAATGTGTGAGTGTACAATGCCTGTCAGGCTGCTTTTACACTCACACACTGCAGTGCCAGCCACCCTAGTGCTCCGGTTTAGTGCCCCCTGTGTCCCTGATCACTGCCCCATAATGCCCATAATAAATAATGCAGCCAGCCCCTGTCACCTGTCCCAGTGCACACAAAATACCCCCATACACCATACCAATGTCCTGATCACCGCCTTACAAGTGTCCTGATCACCGCCATACACCATACCAGCGTCCTGATCAATGCCATACACCATACCAGCATCCTGATCACCGCCATACACCATACCAGCGTCCTGATCACCGCCATACCCCATACCAGTGTCCTGATCACCACCATACCCCATACCAGCGTCCTGATCACCACCATACCCCATACCAGCGTCCTGATCCCCGCCATACCCCATACCAGCGTCCTGATCACCGCCATACCCCATACCAGCACACTGATCACCGCCATACCAGTGTCCTGATCACTGCCATACCCCATACCAGCATCCTGATCACCGCCATACCCCATACCAGCATCCTGATCACCCATACCCCATACCAGCATCCTGATTACCGCCATACCCCGTACTAGCGTCCTGATCACCGCCATACCCCATACCAGTATCCTGATCAACGCCATATCCCATACCAGCATCCTGATTAGCGCCATACCCCATACCAGCGCCCTGATCAATGCCATACCCCATACCAGCATCCTGATTAGCGCCATACCCCATACCAGCGCCCTGATCAATGCCATACCCCATACCAGCATCCTGATCACCGCCATACACCATACCAGTGTCCTGATCACCACCATACACCATACCAGCATCCTGATCAACGCCATACCCCATACCAGTGTTCTGATCACCACCATACACCATACCAGCATCCTGATCACCGCCATACCAGCGTCCTGATCACCGCCATACACCATACCAGCATCCTGATCACCGCCAAACCCCATACCAACATCCTGATCACCGCCATACCCCATACCAACGTCCTGATCACCACCATACATCATACCAGCACCCTGATCACCGCCATACCTCATACTAGCGCCCTGATCACCGCCATACCTCATACTAGCGTCCTGATCACTGCCATACCCTATACTAGCGTCCTGATCACCGCCATACCCCATACCAGCATCCTGATCACCCCATACCAGCGTCCTGATCACTGACATACCCTATACCAGCATCCTGATCACCACCAAACCCACATCTTCAATCTCTCCCTCTCCTCCGGCACTTTCCCCTCCCCTCTGAAACATGCACACATCACCCCCATACTTAAAAAGCCCTCCCTGGACCCCAATGACCCTAACAACCTCAGACCCATCTCCCTGCTCCCATTTACATCTAAACTCCTCGAGCGCCTAGTCTACACCCGCCTATGCTCTCACCTCAACGACAACAAGCTCCTCGATCCCCTACAGTCCGGCTTCCGTCCCCTACACTCCACTGAAACTGCCTTACTCAAACTCTTTAACGACCTGCTAACCTCCAAAGCTAATGGCTATTCAGTGCTCCTACTCCTTGACCTCTCTGCGGCCTTCGACACAGTCGACCACCCCTTCCTCCTCAAAAAACTACACTCCCTCGGCCTCAGAGATTCTGCTCTCTCCTGGCTCTCATCCTACCTGTCACAATGCTCTTTCAGCGTTACCTATAATGCTACCACCTCCCCCTCACTCCCCCTCTCTGTTGGGGTCCCTCAAGGCTCTGTCCTTGGGCCCCTTCTCTTCTCCATCTACACCTCCTCCCTTGGCCAACTCATACACTCTCACGGCTTCAACTACCACCTCTATGCCGACGACACACAAATCTATCTCTCAACCCCCCACCTCACCCCCTTGGTCTCCGACCGAATCACACACCTACTGAGCGACATATCAGACTGGATGTCGCTCCACTTCCTTAAACTGAACCTCTCCAAAACCGAGTTTCTTGTCTTCCCCCCAGCCCGGACACCACCCCCCATTGACTTCTCCATCACATCCAACAACGCCACCATCAAACCCGCCCCGCAGGCCAGAGTACTTGGTGTCATTGTGGACTCCAACCTATCCTTCCAGCCCCAAGTCCAATCTTTAACAAACTCGTGCAGACTCCACCTACGCAACATTGCCAAAATCCGCACGTTCCTAACCCCAGAAACCACTAAACAGCTCATCCACTCCCTCATCATATCACGACTCGACTACTGCAACTACCTCCTCACTGGCCTGCCTCGCCGCTGGCTATCCCCGCTTCAGTCCATCCTGAATACGGCTGCCAGACTCATTCACCTTTCCAACCGCTCCATCTCCGCCGCCCCCCTCTGCCAATCCCTCCACTGGCCTCCGATTGTGCAACGGATCAAATTCAATATCCTAACACTGACGTACAAAGCCGTCCACCATACTGCCCCGAACTACATCACTGACCTAATATCCAAGTACCACCCAGCACGCGCACTCCGCTCCTCACAAGACCTCCTTCTCTCTAGTTCCCTGGTCTCCTCCTCCCATGCTCACCTTCAGGACTTCTCCAGGGTGTCACCCATCCTCTGGAACTCCCTGCCCCAACCCATCAGATTATCACCTACTCTCCTCTCCTTTAGGCGCACCCTGAAAACCCATCTCTTCAGGGAAGCCTACCCCACCCCCTGCTAACTTGCCGACCTCCTCCACTCTTCCTACCACTCCACCCCCCACAGCTATCTCCTCCTGTGCCACCATCCCCTCCCTCCTAGATTGTAAGCTCAAAAGAGCAGGGCCCTCAATCCCCTCATGTTTTGCATTGTATTGGTATTGTTCTGTCACATGTTCTGTCCCCCTTTGTAATGTACAGCACTGAGCGAACTATTGGCGCTTTATAAATACTGTATAATAATAACAATAATACCAGCATCCTGATCACCTCATATCAGAGTCCTGATTACTGTCACTGCCATACCCCATACCAGCATTCTTATCACTGCCATACTCCACACCAACATCCTGATCACCCCATACCAGTGTCCTGATCACCACCATACCCCACACCAACATCCTGATCACCCCATACCAGTGTCCTGATCACCACCATACCCCACACCAACATCCTGATCACCCCATACCAGTGTCCTGATCACTGCCATACCCCACACTAGCATCCTGATCACCGCCATGCCCCATTTTATGATCTCAGCTGATCAATTTTCAAAATATATATCCCATAGTTTGTAGACTCTATAGCTTTCACACATACTAAATAATATAAACTGTTTTGGGTTATTTTTACCCCAAAAATGTAGCAGAATACATTTTGGCCTTAGTTTAGAAAAATTATTTATTTGCAAAATTTTATAGCAAAAATAGGATAGGAGGACAGGCCTAAACTCTCCAATCAGGCAGGTCCTTGTACAACATAGACAGTAGATCTAAAAGGAATTGTACAATCAGATTGTATAGCAAAGTGTGTGTGTGTGGGGGGGGGGGGTCACACGGCTACTACACACACCGGATGATCTCCCCTCTTTCACCACATCGCACCGCCAACCAGATGGTGTCATCTCAGTAAACAAATAAACATGTCTCCACCCCTTACCATGGAGTCCAGCCAATCACTATATCTGGTCTCCCCGGACCCTGCATTCACTATATCCGGTCTCCCCGGACCCTGCATTCACTATATCTGGTCTCCCCGGACCCTGCATTCACTATATCTGGTCTCCCAGGACCCTGCATTCACTATATCCGGTCTCCCCGGACCCTGCATTCACTATATCCGGTCTCCCCGGACCCTGCATTCACTATATCTGGTCTCCCTGGACCCTGCATTCACTATATCTGGTCTCCCCGGACCCAGCATTCACTATATCCGGTCTCCCCGGACCCTGCATTCACTATATCCGGTCTCCCCGGACCCTGCATTCACTATATCTGGTCTCCCAGGACCCTGCATTCACTATATCCGGTCTCCCCGGACCCTGCATTCACTATATCCGGTCTCCCTGGACCCTGCATTCACTATATCTGGTCTCCCCGGACCCTGCATTCACTATATCTGGTCTCCCCGGACCCAGCATTCATTATATCCGGTCTCCCTGGACCCTGCATTCACTATATCCGGTCCTCCTGGACCCTGTATTCACTATATCTGGTCTCCCATGTCTTGGAAATTCGCTTTAACGAATTTCTCCTTACCGTGAGTACTCGCAGTTGGATGCGCAGAAATCCCCCATAAAGCTGTGCGAATCTCGCTTACCACGACTGCAGCTAAATTACACGATTCCTGCCCATCCAAATTGGTTAGCTTCTGTTGAAATGTGGGTGATTGGAGCTCCGTTACCCTAGAATCATCACACGACACTCTAAGGCTAGTGTTGCAATTCACAAAAGGGCCGGCTTCAGACTCAGCCCCCGGTTTTATTACAAGCACACACATGCCCCCCACATGAATAAAGTCAATCCCCTCCCACCGAACAATGCAATGGGGAGTGCCTATACACAGGATATACATTCCGATTGGAGCATAGCCTTTCCTATTATCTATCACTGGTCCTCCCCCATGAGCCTTCTGAGGTCAGCAAACTTCCTGTCCTACTAGCTCCTATTGGTATGTAAATTCTCTGTACAAGCATTCCCTAAGCTAAACACCAGTCTGTACCTGGATGGGCCCGATACGATCTTTATTAAAACACATCCATCCAAGATACAGTTTCAAGTTGGTAATGGGTTGTAAGATATGCATAAGCCTACACGCGGAGTTCGTACTGCTTGGCGCCTTGCGGCACGAAGTCCATGTGGTACTATGCTGCTGATATGTGGATACAGGCCCGCGGTCTACTGCCAGCGGCATTCGCATCGAATGCCGTGGTGGTATACACGCCGGTCTATAAGCGCAGATCCGCCATCTCATCCATTACCGAGTTGAGTACTGTAATACATACATTGTACATGCGCATGGCCCAATTGCAGCCTTCAGAGCTTTAATTAAGCCACACGAGAGACATATGAATAACACTCATATATGACACATTTAAAGTTCGACCAACAATACAAAATTTCCATGACATTCCCTCCTGTTTTATCATATTCTCCTCGTGTCCCTTCTTGATCTTCTTCAGCTTGATGGGTGTAGTCTCAAAACCTCAAAGAGTTGGTCTTAGAGACAGAGTTCCTGTAGTTGTCCCTGAGAATAAAGCTCCACGGGGTACCTGAAACAACAAGACCCGACGCAAACTCGACGCAAACAGGCTTGATTGAAGCGATGATCCTCAAGAGCGTTGGAACCTTCACTACAGGAAGGCTCTTGCAAAAATCACAAACAGACTTGTGGTATGAATAAGGCTTGTGATCCCACGGTGGTCTGGGGAGATCCAGCAGCAGATTCTCAAATTGCCCCTGCAGACGGGGCCACACAAGGCTGGTCTCGACCCAGACAGTTTTCCAAATCGCAGACACAAACCATGATGAGGCTTGAAGCTTGCTTGGAGGTCTTGGAGAATGTGGTCTTCAGAGAGATAAATTAGAGGGAAGCCAGGACGTAATCTGCAGAGAAGGTGGTTGGTTGGTGAGGTCTTCCTCCGATCAGTGGTTGGAGCGGGATCCCAGGAGCGGGCATGGAGATGTGGTCGTCTGCCCGAGCTTGGTTTACACGGTCGATGAGGCAACAGGAACATCTCACCGCGGCATATAAGAGGCAGAGGAAAAGAGAAGCATCAGGACATACACTCCCACTTCCTTCAACCAAGATCTGATGGAGAACAGGAAATCTCCCAATCCTCCCAAACCCTTGAACGGATTCCAACCCTCACTAGCTATAGCTCTAGCTTTTCCCTGTAGTTCACTAACTTTGTCCATATGGGCCTGGACCTTGTCATCGGTGTCTTCTATCCAAGTACAACAATCCTCTACGATGGACTCACAGAACCCCCCTTTGGCGGCTAAAAGGTAATCAAGGGCCATCTTCTCCTGAAGCACTAAAATTCCCATCTGCCATTGTTCTTGGGCAATTTCTCTGACAGCCTCTACAGTCTCGTTAAACATACTATCCACGATGACAGAAAAATTGTTCAGGCGCTTCATAAGTTCTATTCCCCATCCTGTCCATGAGGGGAACCAAGCCCATGCCTGGTCACCCTCACAGAACAGTTCCCTGCGAACTCTCCCTGCCATCCTTACCTTCTTGTGGACCATCAACTCTTCATGATCCATCACTACATAGGATGCGGGGACTAGCTTTATGAGGGCACACGAACCTTTCGCGTTCTGGGGAAATGTTCTATAGGCTGCCGAACCACACAGAAAATAGTATGGACCTGTCAGAGCAGAGCAGGAGGAGTTCCTCGTTCGGCCTCTGGCACTGAGCAACAGTTGCACAGACTGGGGGATTGCTCCCTCAGTCTGCACATCACATCCGTCCTCCAACACACGTGGTCTGGTCGGTCAGTGTGGTTACTCAGAAGGGAAGTCTGGTTAGTCAGATTGACAGTTATACCTCCCTCGCAGGTGGTAGTCCCAACAAACTTGTTACCTGTGCCAAAGCTGATGTTAAAGCACACCTGAGGGCTGCCTAGCTGTCCAGTTACCCATAATGGACTGACGAGGGTCCTACAGGAGCTAGAGCTAATATTGGTGCTAAAACTGATGTTACCTGCTAAAAATGTGTCATTAAGTTCTACCGACAAATGTCTATGTGGGGGCTGACCAGGGGTCCCTTGCTTTTTCATGCCGACGCGGATGTCATATAGGGCATGAACAGCGGCCATTGCGGACATGTGATGACTGGGTGGGGGCTTAGAGCATACCCAACAGTTGGTTTTGTTGGCGGTTCTGGTTAAACGCAGATGCATTTTAAATAAAAGGTTGGGGTATCTGCCGTCTTTTCCTCCGTTCGCACACATGTAAGACATACAAACAAAAAGAAGAAGGAAAATGACACCCCTCATTCTCTGGTGTAGCTGAAAAGCTTCTTGCAGTGGCTTGCGTGCACCCAGTTGTCTCGCCCTCGAGCTTGAGTGAGGTAGGTGTCGTCAGCTGGACTTGGTATGGTCCGGTGAACCGTGGCTCGAGTCCGGTTCTTTGATGTTTCTTTAGGACGACCCAATCACCTGGCTCAATAGAAAGAACACCTGTTATTGCATTTGGATCGGGGAGCGATTCGTGAACCCGATGGTGTACCTTCTGCAGCTCCCGTTGCAGAGATTGCACGTAACCTGTAAGCTGTGAATGCAAAGACGACAACTGTTGAGGAAAGTACAACCCTGTTTTGGGAGGTCCCCCAAACAACACCTCGTAGGGTGACAGCCCATGTGGTTGCCGAGGGGCATTCCGGATGGAATAGAGGGCAATGGGGAGACACTCAGGCCAAGGTTTTTTGGTATCGGCCATGATTTTGGAGTCCTGTTTTTTAAGGATTCCGTTGAGACGTTCAACCTTACCGCTACTCTCGGGGTGATACGGGGTGTGTAGCCCTTGGTTGATGTGAAGGGCTTTACATACCTCTGCAAAGATCTGTCCAGTGAAGTGTGACCCCCTATTGGACTCGATGGTTTCAGGTAGACCCCAGCGGCACACAACCTCAGACAGGATTTTCTTTGCCGTGGTACTAGCATTGGCACATGTGACGGGCCACGCTTCAGGCCAGCCTGAAAACATATCTATACAGACCAAGGCGTATTCGTACGGCCCACTCTTTGGTAACGAGATGTAATCGATCTGGATGCGTTGGAAATCCCCTCGCTTTCCAGATGGGACCAAAGTCATGTGCAATACCAAACGCGTACCTCGAATCCGTATAAACATTAATCCTCTGACCTTCATGCAACTCACATGCCCTGGCCAGTGCCCACAGCTCAGCTTCCTGAGCTGACATATGTGCGTTCAGAGAGCCCTTTTCCACAACATCACTTTCAGTCGTGACCGCGTAACCAGTGTGTGGCTTACCGTCTTAGGTGTAGTACCTGGACCCATCGACAAAAAGATTTTTCGCTTCCGGTATTGGCGTTTCCTTCCTTGGGCTGATCGCCGCTGACTCCAGTTCCATCAAAGAAATGCAGTTGTGTCCTTTGGAAGAGAGGTTAGTAGTGGACAAAGAAGACATGTTAGTAGAAGAGGTGTTGGCATTGTTAGTCGGGTTGCAAGATTTAGCACTGTCTTTGTTGTCCCCCCCCCCCTTCTCGTCTTCCAACACAGGAAGAAGAGAAGCTGGGTTAAGAATAGTGCATCGTTTGATAGAGAGGTTAGTAGGAGTTAGGAGGGCTACCTCGTATTTGGTCAATCTTGCTGCAGAGAGATGTTTAGTTTGGACCTGGTTTAGGATCTCTTGCACCGAGTGCGGAGTGTAGAGTGTGAGGGGTGAATCCAAAACGATGTCACCCCCACTTTTTGGACAAGGACAGCACAAGCAGCCACTGCCCTCACACAACCCGGGGACCCTTTGATGACTGGGTCCAGAGCGGTCGATAGGTACATGATGGGGTGGTACTTGGTTCCGTGAAGTTGGGTTAGTACTCCGGTTGCATGGCCCTGACTTTCGTGACAGAAAAGGTAGAAAGGTAGGTCATAGTTGGGTAGACCTAGGGCTGGTGCTATTGAGAGTTCCTGAGTCAAATCTTGAAGAGTTGACCAGTCGTCATCTGACATTTGAAATGGTGTTTTGGATGTCAGCTCATACAGGGGACCAAGTTTGCCCGAGATATTGGGGACCCAATCTCTGCAGTAGTTGATAAGGCCGAGGACGGCTCTCAGCTGACGGTGGTTTTTGGGTCTCTTTAGGTCTTGCAATGTCTGCACTCTTTGGGTTGTTAAGTGCCTGGTGCTCTGAGAGAAATACAATGCCCCAAGAAGATGACTTTCTCCTGGCAGAGTTGTAATTTCTCCTTGCTGGCCTTGTTGCCCGTTGACGCCAGATGGTTGAGTAATGAAACAGTATGTTGATAACAATCCTTTTTAGTGGGACAGCAGAGGAGCAAGTCATCAACATACTGTAACAACACCACCTCTGGATTCATTGGGGTCCACTGATCTAACACGATTTTCAGCTTTCAGCTGTATTCCGAGGGACTGGTTACCGCCCCCTGGGGGAGACGGGTCCAGGTAAGTTGTCGGCCCTGGAAGGAGAAGGCAAAAAGGTACT